ATCAAACACCTTGTAGGCATAAATCTCTACATCTCATCACCATATAATTAGTTCATCTAACTACTACCATTCATCAACAATTTATCCCACCACCATGATTACCCAATTTATAACTTTTAAAATCACATATATGACATCCATCCACACCCAACCAACAAAGTTCCGTCAAATAAATATTTTTCAATCTCTATAATAGTAGTGTAATTAAATTGGAAACTTATGGTTTCCAATCACCATACCAAGAGTTCCAATACTTATTCATACTCATATTCCCTTAATAAATCCATACATGTAAGTCTAAGGGTGTAGGATTACCTTCTTGGAAGGAATCTTGCAAAATCCTCCTTTGAGTTCTTGAAGAAATCCCTTAAAGATCTAAGTATTTTATGTGTAGATTTCATCAATACTAGTGTATAAATGATGGAATTCACACCAAGATAATGGGGATTACTTACCTTGAAGATGGGAGGGGTTGGAGGTCTTGAGAGAGCGGAGGAAAATCCTAAAATTGGTCCAAATAAAATGGGCAAAATAACCCCCGAAGGTTTTATATCAAAATAGGGTCGGGTTGAAAAAAAACCAAGATTTGCACAGCCGCGGCGCATGGGGCGACGCGTAAGGCGGTGTGGTAATGAAAAATGTGTCTAGAAACGAAATTTGGAGTGTTCTGTAAATCTACACAGCCGCGCCGCATGGAGCGACGCGTGGGGCGGCGCGGTAGTGTAAAATTCTGCTAGCTTTTGGTAATTTGGTCGTAACTTCTGGTAGGAGTGTCCAAATGACAAACGGTTTGAAGTGTTAGAAACTAGAATCCAGAATATTTCATTTGATAGGTTGTGGATCACATACCACCTTATATAAATGTAGATATGCTCGTGCAAAGTTTGGTCTTGTGCATGCTCATTTGGAATTTTAGTCTATCATGAAATTTCAAACTTGACTTAGACTTAGGCCTCTACTTGGACCCCAAACCACTTATGATATTCCTCGTACATTTATTATAATATCCAGTTGATAACCATCACATTAATACTCATTTAATGCATCCACAACTGATTCAAATTTACGGGGTGTTACATTCTTCCACAGAGGTGATCTCCACGTCCGAAGGAGGTGCGGTCTCTACATCCAAGGCCATATCGCCCCTCGGCTCGGCCATGGTAAACTCACGTCCACTCCCCGCCGGCTCCTCTCCGACAACTCTCCTATCAGCCTCTACCCTTCGCCTTTTTAGCGGAGCCTCTCCATCTTCGCCCTGGTCTGAATCATCCACCAAGTGAAACACGATAGAAGCCGAAATCTCCGCTAGTGTGGTAGCAACCTGGCGGCTAGGACCGTGCGAGGCCGGGGTCTGAGGAATAGCAGCGGCGTGAGCAGGTTCACTTGCAGCCACAGCGAGTACGAGCTCGGCCGAAATACCCAACTGGTGAAAAGCAGGCGTAGGAGCCCTCGCTCTCCTTGAAGCCCTCCGACCTACAAACGAAGAAAGATAAATAAAAGACGGGATAGAAATGACGATATAAAGGTCAAAACAATCAAAATCAAAGGTAACTCACCGGCCGCAGGTCTACGCCCAAAGCTCTCATTAAAGTGCGAACACTCGTGAATCCCACAGTATGAGGCAAAACCCGAATCACCCAGTCGCGAATGTCAATGACTGGCGAAGGAGGATCCCGTTCGGCTGCAAAAAAGAGAAGGAGAACGATCAGATCGCCCAAAATAAACAACGAAGTCATTTGGGAGAAAAACACTTACGAGCAAAGTTCCACTCCTCGGGGAATCCACTAGGGTTTGATACCACGTGCTCTGTCTTCACGTAGAAGAAATTTTCCCAAAAGCGACGATTAGTTTTATCGTCCATCTTCACCACCAACCCCTTGGTCCCGCGGTGGTGCATATGAATCATCGTGCCCCTATGAAAACTTGGGGCGAAGAGGTGAAGCAGATGGTGGAGAGAAATACCATGGTTGGCCAGCTCTGCATACTTGATAAGCATAAGGAAAATCTTGTATATGTACGGAGAGAGCTGAGCCGGACACACGTTGTAAAAACGGCAAAAATCCTCTGCCAAGGAAGGAAGAGGAAGTGTGTAGCCAACAACGAACGGGTACCTGTAAAACGCGGAGTACCCTGGGCGATGTATTTGCAATACATCACTACCAGCAGGGATGATTTCAACGTGGGCCGGGATTCTCCACTGAGCCCTAAATATAGCAATCGCCATCGCATCCATCTCAGAAACAACGAGTTCAGGTTCACCCTCAGGTGGGTTCTTGAAGTCTGACCTAGCCTTCCCCGAACGTGGAATTATCTCATCCATGGTGGGGAAGTTTTCATCTTCTACCATGGCTGCTCCTTCTTCATGAGGAGGTACGTTCACATCCAACCTTACAGGATCAGAGGAAGCACTAGCCATTTCCCTGATTGTATGCGAAAAGGAAATGCAAAGATGAAGGAAGTGAAAATAGCAGAAGATGCTGAAGGGAGAAAGAAAACACAGACGCTAGAAACTTGAAGAAGGAAAAACTCAGGTTTCAAAGGCTCTAGAAATGCAACAGTTCTAATGAGGCCATCTCCAACCCTTACCTCCATTTTCTCCTCCAAAATGCAGTAAACTCCAAAATGGAGTAAAGTTACTCCAACCATTACTCCATTTTTTACTCCAAAAAAAGAATATTCTATTTTATATTCTCTTCTCTTTTTAATATTATATTATTATTTTTTAGCAACATCTACTATTTTATATCTGCACCATTCATTTTTTGAGATGATTATGTATTTTTTGTACAATTATAACTTATAATAAAATTAACTTACAATTTTACATAAAAATAATAAATGCACGAAAATTAATTTATCCAAATTATATGTCAAAGTTAAGATGTAAAATTAATATTATAAAGATATTACATAAACATAATTAGGTATATATAAAGAGATAAATTAAAAGAGTTAAATAATAATAAAATAAGCATGAATAGTAATGGAGGAGATGAACAGTGTCACTCCATATTTGGAGTAATACTATTCATCCCCCATTTTGGGGGCAAAAATGGGGGAGCATTGGAACTCCATTATGGCAAAAAATGCCCCCATTATGGAGAAATGGGGGAGGGTTGGAGATGCCCAGAGGAATACCCGTCCCTATTTATAAGAATATGGGCACCCCAATCGAGAAAGCCCAAACGCCACCTCATTAATTTCGAAACGGAAGAGGCGCGGGGAACGATTGGGAATGTGCGCCATGATGACACATGATGAAATGATGTCATTTCAAACTGACGTAACGGTCAGGTGTGGCTCTTGGAGCACCACGTCATCACCTCGCCATAAAAGGGTCACTCCTCGGCCAATGTGCTCAGATTTTTCAAAATTACAACTGGCGAAGTCCGCCCACCGAGCTCGTCCAAAAACAACCCCGACGGACGGAGGGACTAACTGTATGGGTCAAAATCTAATCGAAAGGGTCTCACCTAAAATAGGGAAATCAAGAATCACTTAGGCCGAGGTCATGCGTAACGCCAAAACGACTAGTTTAGCAATAAGATATTTCTAAAGAATATTCAAAGGAATATTCTTTGTATTTGTACTTTCAGTAGGTAAGGGGAATGTCCCATATAAGTAGGAATAGAGAGAGAAAGAAGGGAAATCTAATTTTTGATCTTGAGAAGCTCTCTCTAGAAAAGTTGACTCCCACATAACTACAAACATTATCTTTATACAAGATTCGATTTGCTGTGTTATTCCAAGCTTTCCCACGTCAGATCCGATAAAGTATTTGATATTCTCACGTTTGGTTATCTTACATCATTGTCAGAGGGAGAATCATCCACCTCGTTATACATCTGGGTGAATTATTCTCTTTATTTACAGCTATTGTCATTCATCATATTTATTGCTTATCCTCATTCCTTCATTTATCCACAAGAATATTATTAAATCTTCTTTTGGCTTTTAATAGCTTTAAAGGCAGTTTCTAGATTATTACTGCACATCAATCTTGGATCCAGGACTTATTATATTTAACTAGAATTTACCTATTATTATTTATTTAATTCGTTTAACAAAAAGGTTTAACACTTTTGGTCAAACAAAGATGTCAAATAAAAGTTTTCATGTATTACTTGATATTATGCAAAAGATTGATAATTTTTTTAAAACCAAACACGTGTTTTATAGTTTACACCCGTATATCCAGATTTTAACCAATCATTATTTACTAATATAAAAGCAATTACACAACTATTATCAATCAGTGTGTAACAATTAGTACATTATATTTCATGCATAAAACTTTTCCGTGAACCAAATAGTAATAACAACTTAGCATATGCTCAAGTAATCTTATGGCCAAGTTAAGTACTTTTGGTAAGAACCAATTTGTGTTTGGCTAACTTATTTGAAAAGCAATTATGAGCAGCAACTAGTGTTTGGCCAAGCTTTTAAAAACTGCTTCTAAGTATATTTTTCTCAAAAGTACTTTTCAAAAAAGTGCTTGAGAAGCTACTTTTTTCTGCTTCTCCAAAACTGCTTCTGCTTCTACTCAAAAGCACTTTTTTCTCCTCTAAAAGCTTGGCCAAACACAACTTTGAAAAAAAGCAATTTTTTTTCTCGCTCTGGGAGTGAAGCTTTAACGAGAGATGTGGTGACATTTGAAATGGTTAACAACAATTAGTGACGACGCCAGGAATTTTGCTAAGGGTGTTCAAGATTTAATATACGTGTATAAAAAGTAATTTTTGATTCATATATGCAATATAATTTCTTATATATACAGTATAATCTTTTGATGAAGGGTGTTCAACTGACCACCCTTCGTTGTTAAAAGCCAAACACAAATTGGTTCTTATATATACAGTATAATCTTTTGATGAAGGGTGTTCAACTGACCACCAAAGATTATATATACAGTATAATCTTTTGATGAAGGGTGTTCAACTGACCACCCTTCGTTGTATGTGGCTACGCCACTGACAACAATAGTACTTTGGTGTTCAAAAGAACCAAAGAAGCTGAATATTATCATGGAGTAGTATTAGCAAGAAGCTGTACAGGCAAATATGATACAAAAGATCTACATTCATATTCATTTTTCAGTAATGAAAATATTAGCTTGCTATTTGGAACTACTACAAGTGTAGTAAGTTTGATATCAGATTCCAACCTATCCATGTTTTTTTGTCAGAGGGGGAAACAAAATTGAGCTGAAACATCTCCTTAGATACATGTTCTCCTGTTTCGCAGAATCCAACAAGCTTCGCGACAACTTCTGCACTATCGCGTACATTTTGCATGTTAAGAGGATCTGACCAGAGCTTATTCACAAGCTGTAGCCGCCTTCTCGGTTTTCCATCAGGTGGAATGTCCCATTTCACGTAAAGCATTTCCCTCTCTTCTGCGTTTAGCTTTGAACTCACCCTTTTCGCTAGATATTCCCTCTCCTGCTTCAGTGCCTTAATACTGTATATATTCAAAAGCAAAGAGCAGTGGTCAGATTCCAAGAATAGCTAATTTTCAACTGAAGGCCTTATGAAGTTCAGATATAAAATACCTTGATGAGACATAGCCAGCAGCGTCATCGCCCAAGAGTGCAGGGCTTGCGTTACCAAGCCCTGCTAAGTGCTCATCTAACCATGTCAACCTCCGAAGCTCAACTTCCAAGTATATCTGATCCGATGGATCCCCTTTAAATAACATGTAAAATTGTGTTCGGTGCACTAAAGACACGTGGCACAAATGCCACAACATTATAATTTGCTGCCTTTGATCCTCAAACACCAAGTGCCATGACAATGGAGATTGATCGCTTATATCAGCTTCATCACTTGCAGCTTCATTTGCCTCCAACTCCAGCACCTGGTTTTTACACGTTACACAAAAGTTAATCCAAATGATATTTTTTCATTTATACAAAGAAAAAGAACCCTGTATTGGAGAGGTTGCATATGTTGTCAAAAAAGTGACAAGGAGGGTGAAAATAAATCCTAACCTGGCAAACAAGCAGCTGCTTTTGGTACTGTAACTTAGCCACCCTTTCTTTCAGCTCAGTAACATAAGCTTTGATACTCCGAATATTATCCTCAGCTGCTTTTTTAAACATCGTTTGCATCTTCTTCATATTAACAGAGTTTGACTGCCTTGATCCAGGAGTACAGTTACTGTCCTTACTTTTAACTGGAGTGCTCAGTTGGCTACAGAATGAGTCACCAGCAGATCCAACATTATTGCATTCCGGCGGCGCCCTGTTCTCAATCTCACCCTCCACAATGTTGCAGGATGAAGGAGACATAGGAGAACATGGTGATCGAATTATATTTGGAATGTTACTGGTGTTACTCAAGTTAAACGGAAGCACCCTTTTCTTTTTCGATGGGGTGGTCCTTGAATCAGCAGATTCATGGCATCTTGGAAGATGCATGACTAATTCGTCAATAGATCTCTGAACATTCTCAAGTTTCTGTTCTAGAGATGCAATGTTGCTTTCCTGCGATCTCAGCCGTGCAATCTCTTCTTTCAAGCTAGCTTTATCTTTTATCTCAATTTGTTCAGGAATACAACTTATTTTCTGCAGTTCTTTAATTTCCGAGAACAATTTTGCAATCGTTTCCGTGGCCCCTTGGCTGCCAATTCTGTGAGATGCAAACTCTTTGTGAAGCAACTGAAGTGCATGATTTGCTTCATCACCAAGCTGCCTCTGTCTCATCTCAAGTTTTCGGATCTCATGCACTAGCATAGATGGATTGGTTGAGTTGGTCGACCTCCTAATGGCAGCTTGCCTCTTGAGTAAACTTTTTCTTCCCAGGTCTGTAGAAGGAGATGCACCAGAAACTTCTTCATCTTCAGGTGTAAATGAAAGACATTTTACTACTTGACGAGAAGGTCCATGATGCTCTGAACCCTGAAATGAGCATATGCCAACGGTTATACTTTCCCAGACTGAAATCCACCGAAAAAGATGGTAAAAGTTAGGAGTTCTGTCTAAATGCATCGATTTTTTGTACCTTGAGCTCTTTCTTTGATCTTCTTTCTAGCTCGAGCTGGGATTGTGCTAGGTCACGCTGACGTTTCAGCTCATTCATCTCCTCCTCCATCTGTGCCTCACAAAATTTTAGGATAAAGATATATTCAACAATTCATATGTAAAATGGTACATTTGCAGCAAGCACCACAATTCCACCCCTCAACTAGCTATTCCTTTCAACTAAGAAAACATGAACTTAACATTACATGTTTCAGATGTGATACAAGGGGGGCCCATCTGCATGACTACAACCAAATTTAGCAGATTCTTATGCGACGTACCTATACTACTTAAAAGCATTAGTGGTACCTGTTGGATTTTCCTCTCCTTCTGGATTAGTAGAGATCTTAAACACGGGGAGGCAGCAGGGTCAGGACTTCGGAGCTCTGCTTCAAGTCTGGAAACTTCCTTTTGTAAATGCTTCAGCAATTGCTTTTCAGCAACAACCTGAGAAAATGAACGAAAACAAGAAAGAAAAAGAGGTCAAACATGAAGGTCTTTGAATTGCAGAATTACTAAGTAGAATAAGTATAGCTTATTACAAACTCCCGGTTTTTTTTTTTTTGTAATACTGGTGCATTTCATTTGCATAAGAAAAAGGAACCTGTATGCACTATACAAGTTTAAACTTCACTTCTAGATAACTTCACTTTTACAAATCCAATTCACTTTACGAGATAACCACTGATCTCATACCATGTTTACTTGCGCAGTGGTAGTCACTTCTTTTGCACTTGTTGCAAAGCATAGCGTATTGCGTGATTGCTCCACATGACTTAAAGCAGGACTCAAAGTGCATATGATTGCTGTTCTCGAATTTCCACCAAGTGAAGACTGAAGTATCCTCGTCAATTTTGAATCTCTGTAGGGAATATGGCCACTCCTTTTTCCACCGCTGCAGATGAAATTCAACAATTTATGTCCCAAGGATACTAACTGATTTATCATCAAATGGATTGTTCTTACAAGTAACAAGAATGTCAGATTCATGAAAGGTTTATCGCCAATAGCAAAGCCACTAAAGTAGTACTACCATTTATGCATATGATGCATATGGAAATAATGCACAATAATGGGAACAAAGATGTGGTTGCATAACAGTGAGAGAGGAAAGCGATGTGATCACCTTCTTCTAAGTTGCAAAAACTTTCTTAAGTAACTAAATATCATGTTTTTACTAATTACCTTAGTTTTCTTATCACATTTGTCAGTGTGAGCAAGCTACGGTTGATATGACTTCCTTCTTTCAACCTTGTACCATCTGCACTTGTTTGTGACGCACGCTCACTCCCAGCCAAATCGACAAGGTTCTACATATATTCAGAGTATTCCTTATTGGCATTTCATGCACGAGATTAGAAATATATAGTGTCAGGTACGAGAGGTCTTACCAGAGTTGCCAAGAAAGATTTCACGCATCCCGAGTTCTCCCGTATGCTGCTCTCAATCGTCTGAAAAGAAAGTTTCAACAAAAAATAAGCACAAGATATCAGCTGTGTGAATAGGATGCTATAACCCATGTAAAAGCATTATGGATGGAAGGAGATAAGATACATAATAATAATACATCATAACATTACAAATAAGTATGAAGAATATTCCATTTATATAAATCACCAAAATAAGAACTGTTTGTGATTCCACCTCAGACGTCTCAGCATATAAAGAGTCACCAACTAAATACAACAAATGGCTAAGGAGTTTGTCTTCACAGTTATTGGGTTATATTGGTCCAACCAAGTAAATAGCAAGAATTCTAAATGATGATGTAGTCCAACTTTAATTTTCAGGGCAACATCCTATAATTCGTATCTCATGTCAACGTGCAGAAGAAAACTTTACACTGCCAGATACTCGTAAACTTAGTAGAAAAGGGACCAGCATCTTTTACCAGTCTAATTATCTGGTGAGAACGTGAGCTTTTATCATTTAAGGCTGTTTCACCGACCTGCCTGTGAGCTGCAACAAGCACAAGTATTTGTAGTCACAAGGTCAGCGAAAATTCTCAACTTAAATATATAGAAGACTGAGGCTTCTAAGGCTATATCTTTTACTCCATATAAGATGACGCAATTATGTATAATTAAAGAATATTTTTTCACACAAAAAGTATGTAACTTACCTTCAACAGTACCAATTAAGGTCTTCAGATGCTCTTCATCCTTCACAATCTCTTCAACTTGTTTTTCTACAATAACCCCTTTCTGCATTCAAAGGCCAAAATTTCAGGAAAGATTTATTTATAAGGAATTCTAATTAAGAAACTTGAACTCATAAACTAAGAGAGACTTGTTTACCTCGGGATCATCCAACAAGCGGAGTGAGACAGACTCACGATTCAAGAGGTCTACTACTGTCTCATTATATATTTCCAAGGCAGAAAATTTCAGCACAAAGTCCCTCTCCGTAGTCTGTAATGCAGAAAAAGCCAAACATCCAAATATCAAAACCACAACTTCTCAATCATACAGAAGAACAACAAAAGATTCTGGATAAAAAATATGATTTACCAATTTGATGCGCTCATAAATGTCATTAACAGCACTTTCAGTTATTCCCCTCATAGTGAATGTCTTCCCACTACTTGTCTGCCCATATGCAAAGATGGTTGCTGCAAAAGGAAAAAAGATATTACTTCCACGAAAATGATGTAACTATATTATCTAAACTTTGGGACTAAATTGAAATGTACAGTGGTTATACCATTCATCCCATTTAAAGCAGAGAGAGCAACATCTCTAGCCCCTTGTTCATAAACCTTGCTAGTCGAACATGTCGGATCAAAGACATAATCTGTCACGGAAAAAAAAACACGTAAGTAGACAAAATTCTAAAATCTAAACCTACAACCAAAGAGTATTCAAGAACAATTCACATTAATTAACCTACCAAATGAATAAGGACCAGCGTGTCTTTCATGATTTAGGTTCTTTGAGACAATTGTTTGTTCATCAGGAAAATCCCAGGCGATAAGATCATAGGCTGCTTGTTCTTTTGGGCTTAGAGGCCGCACACGAATAGTGACAAGTATCTTCTCTTCACGAATCTTCGAAGGGGTCGTCCTTCTACTTCCTGGTACACGTGAAGGTGTCCTTATAATCTTTGATAATGGTGTCGTTACTGGTGTTCCTATCACCATCTTTCTCAATTATACCATCCTATTCAACAATCATAACATCATTATAAATCACTAAACAGACATAAAAAAAGAATTATTGGGCTCATGATTAATAGCATCAAATTGAACACCCATTCTTGACATGAAATTAGCATATGATATAACAAAATCACCAACTAAATTTTAAGAAAATTTGGAAAGGAACATAATTACTTTAACCATACACTAACTTAAGCTGCTTTCACTACTAAAGCAAAGCATTAAAACCCCCAAAATCCCACCATTTTACTGGTGTTCCGATTACCATCTTTGTTAATTATACCACCCTATTCAACAATTATAAAATATAACATCATTATAAATCACTAAACAGACATAACAAAAACAATTATTGGGCTCAGCATTAACAGCATCAAATTAAACAACTCCTATTCTTGACATGAAACTATCCAACCATATACCAAAATCCCCAACTAAATTCCAAGAAAATACAGAAAAAGAACATAAGTCACTGTAATCATACCTAACTTAAGCTCCTTTCACTACTAAAGTAAAGCACTAAATAATCCAAATCCACCATTTTAAACAATATAATGTTTCCCTTGATAACATAACATAAATCAAACTACATGGCCCATGATTGATAGCATTTAGCATCAGATTAAACACCCATTCTTGACATGAAATTATCTATCCATATACCAAAATCACCAATTAAATTCCAAGAAAATACAGAAAGAGAACGTAATTTACAGTAATCATAAACTAACTTAAGCTCCTTAACCCAAAATTTTAAACAAGAAAATATTAACGTTGAAACAAAAACTTCAAACAACAAAATCTTGTGAAACATAATGTGTTATCATCCATTGCATTTCAAGTAAACAAACAACAGTAAAAAAAAACGAAACCCAGATAAAGTAAATAGTCTTGAGATAACAAACAGGAAATAGAAATGGAAATGGAAATGGAAAGAAGAAGACTTACCCCCAAGAAATGCGAAGAAATGTTGAAGTAAACTGAAATCAAAAATGGAAAGAAAGATTTTTGATAGACAAGATTTTACAGGGAGAAAACTTCAGAGAATAACGGCTAGTTGAATCTAATATTTATTTAACAAAATGTTCTTTTTGTTCCGTTTCCGTACCCGTAGCGCACCTGAGAGACGTTGATTTATATTTGGGTCGGAGCCTCTTAGGTGATAATGGGTTATCCGTGAAAGTGTATTTGAAAATGTTTGGGTTGAATATACAGTTTAGTCCCACAAATTTCTGTTCGTGCCAATGTAACTCAAAAACTTTCTTTGTCCAAACTGCTAGACGTGGAGTCAGGATTTGAAGCTTCTGAGTTAGGAATTCTAGTTCATTTAAGTTATTAAATTCTAAATTAATAATTTATGTATGTTCAGTGAATTTCATAATACAAATACATGATTTGAACAAAAACTATTGAGTTCAGTAGAACGCTTAAGTGAAGGACTAGCTCCAACCCCGGACAAGGATATTGAGAGTACAACTAGGTGCTCAAGCAAGAGTCTTTATACTTTGTCTCCATCTCTCTCTCATTCTCTCTCTCCCTATATGTTTTAGGATTTCATGAACCTACTCCACGATGACGTTGAGTAAAATTCTCATTGAAGGGATGAGAGTGATGAAATAAATAAAATTCTTTAACAATTAATCTGAAATTTCGAATTCGAGTTCTGATAATAGAAAAATCTCGCCTTTAACGGGTCTTAAACGATGCGATATCAACTTACTCAGACTAGTGCATTACGATGCCGGATGGTCAGACTAAAGAAACGGAGAAACTTCATCTGTTTGGTATTCATGAACTATTTGAAGTGGACTTGTGCATTACGGATAGAATGCTTATGATACAGAGGCAAACTAACCTCAGTATAGAAACGAGAGTATCGTACCTTGTTAATATTAATAATTTTTTATGTGCATATATATATTTTAAACGGTTATATATTTTGTTCCGAACCCTTAGAATCAAAAATTCGATGGAATACTGATTGAGCAGTCTGCTTATATGCCTCGCCACGTTTAAATCATGTGTCCGCCTCTATTATGATATAACTTCTTCATATGGATAATGGTGGCTTTAGTTTGATCATTAAATTTTATTGGTAAAGGGACAAAAGTTGGAAAAGTCAAAAAAACAAAAAGTGGCATCGAATGACCAGTGCTTACTAACGAATCACTCTTTCTGGATTAACATTTGGACCTTGTTACAAACTAGTATTCGCACCCGCGCCGATTCGCGGACACTAATCATGTTAATATTTACTTAATTGGATTATATATAATAATCTTAAAATTTAAACCTTCTCGATAAATATAGATAATAATCGGATATTAATTAAGAAATACTATATGAAAAAGATTAACTATTTCTCAAATCTCCTAGTTATAATTCTATTTTTCTTTTTTGGTACCATTTTCGCTGGTGTTATTGGATCCTAAAAATATTCACGAAGCAAACAATCAAAGGTTGAGACCATGAAGGACTCTTTGGATATGACTTGACTCCTTTACTATTACTTGAGCTCTTATTTGGTGTGTTGATTTCTTTCAAAAAATATTTTAATTTTAAAATTTCAGTTTCTAAAATTTTATTTTTCATATATTATTATTTTTATAATAATATAAGCGAAAATATTATCCTTAATTCAAAATTAATTTTAGTTGGCTATCTAAAAATTCTTTAGCCAGTGAATTTTTTTTTTCCAGTATGACTCTATTTTGATATTTGACATTAACCATGTTAAATATCTAAGTTATTTGAATTATATGTAAATAACCTTAAAATTTAAACCTTCTAGATAATTATGGATAATCTTTAGATATTAATTAAGACACACTACATGAAAAAGGACTAACAATTTTCTCAAATCTCGTAGTAATAATTTTATTTTTGCATCATTCTCATTGGTGTCATTGGAACCTAAAAATAGCCAAACCGAAATAATAACTCGTATTTATGGCAAAGCATAAAGGTTGACACAATATAAACGATTCTTTGGTTACGACATGACTCTTTTACTATGACATAAACTCTTATTTGGTATGTTGTTATCTTTCAAAAAATATTTCTATTTTAAAATTTCAATATCTAAGATTTTATATATATATTTCAATAACGATTATCTTTATAATGATGCAAGTGTAGATATTATCCTATGTATACATATTTTTTGTTTTTTGAATCATTAAATGTTAAATTAGTTGATTATTATTATTATTATTTATTATTATTATTATTATTATTAATAATATTATTATTATTATTATATAATATTGCATATATTGTGTTAAAATTGCCAAGTAGTTTTTTGCTCGATACTATACTTGGCTTAACTTCAATGCAAACTACTCAAATGGCATTTAAATTCAAATTCAAATAGCATATCTCAGTTTGTTTGTAATAGTGATTTTTTAAAAATGACACACAATGTAAATTTAAAAAAAAAAAATCTAAGATATGCTTATCTTATAATCTATGTATTTGAGTTGCAAAGAATATTTGAAATCGATGGGATCAGCTTCCAAATTTTTTATACTCAACAAAAATGAAACAGAAGAAGAAATTCGTTGTCATCTCTTATTTCTGGTTTTTAGATTTTTCATACTTGTTTTTGTATATTTGTTTTCTTTTATCTTATTTTCATGTCTTTCTTTATTTTGTTACAAAAAATAAATTTATTTCGCTATAAAAGGATGAATTTTAATAGAAATTGTCTACATAAGAACTTTGTTTATATTTTCTTTTGATTTTATCTAATCAACCTAAATAGGTGCTCACCCGATCACTTAAATTAAAAAATTTAAGAATGTATAATTTATATATAATCCATATATAATATGTGTATAATCGTGTGTTGTCGATATATCATCTATGTATATTAACTATAGGAAGTAAAAAATAAATTTTGCCGGATATTTATGTAAATATTCCATAAGATTTCGGTTTCTTGATTTTATCCATTATATGACTTCTATAAAAATAATTTTGAAAACTCTCTAAAATTCAAAAATATCTTTATTTTTATTCTTAAAATTAATTATATTTTAAAATATAATACCATTTCGAATAATTTGTTTACATTTTAAAAAAATATATTTTACGTCATATAAATTTTTTTTAAAAAATATACTTTTTGTTAAACTTGAAAATCGGTATAGAAACTATCAATTAGAAACCAATATCCCTCTCGTTGAATTCGAGAAATTTTTTTTTCCACATAATCTAATGATTCAAAACTAATATTCTTCGACGGAAAAATATTGTACCCTTATAATGTTGGATTGACGACAACTAAATGAAGAGGTTTCAGCTTACACCCTTAAATTCCTAGAAGGTGCTAAATTGAAATTAATAATAGCAATTATATAGCCAAAGTTGTGTTATTTGTTTGATGTCCATTTATACAAATTGACTCTTCAAAGTGTGATGACCCAAAGGGGTCATCTTTTGTTTTAGAACCCGAATCCGTGTTCCGAGGCCTTGAAAACCTCATTTTCTTTCTCCTCGATTTGCGTGCGCAGTCCGGGCGCATTTCCGAAAAGCCTTATGTGAAATTTGAGAAAAATATTGAATTTTGCCTTTAAAATTGATTAAAGTTGACTTCGGTCAATATTTTTGGTAAATGAACCCGAACCCATGATTCGACGGTCCCGTAGGGTCCGTAGTAAAATATGGGACTTGGGCGTATGCCCGGAATCGAATTCCGAGGTCCCTAGCCCGAGAAATAAATTTTTGAAGAAAATTGTTAACTGAAAAATATGATGGTTTTTGGAAATTGAATAATGTTTGATATTGTTGGTATGGTATCAGGCCCGTATTTTGGTTCCGGAGTCCGGTACAGGTCCGTTATAATATTTAAGCCTTATCTGTGAAATTTGGTAAAAAACGGAAGTAATTTGACGTGATTCGGACCATTGGTTTAGAAAATAGGAAGTTTGAACTATTTTGAAAATTTCATGAGTTTTGGTGTTGAATTCATAGTTCTATGTGTTATTTTGGCGATTTGACCGCGCGAGCGAGTTCGTATGATGTTTAAAGACTTGTGTGCATGTTTGGTTTGGAGCCCCGATGGCTCGAGTGCGTTTTGGATAGGCTACAGAGTGTTTTGAGACTTAAGGAAAATTGCTGGTGTGTTGCAGATCTGTAGACTTCGCATTTGCGAAGTCTGGCTCGCAAATGCAAGCACCGCATTTGCGAAGAATCATCACATTTGCGATGACTGGGCTGGGTAGGGACCTTCTCATTTGCAAAGTTCATCATCGTAATTGCGACTTGCACATTGACCGCATTTGCGAACAATTGTTCGCATTTGCGAAGGCAGCAGGCCAGGCCAAGCTTCGCATTTGCGAAGCCTTAGTCGCATTTGCGAACCTGTGATCGCAAATGCGATACCTGCACTGTGTAAAACATAACTTAGACGGGATTTTAAACTCATTTCTCAAATTTTCAAACCCTAAGCTCCCCTAGGCGATTTTCTACAGAGGAGTTCTTCTCCAAATCATAGGTAAGCGATTTCTAACTCATTTCCTTCAATTTATTTCATCCTTTCACAAGATTTCATCACAAAATCCAGGGATTTTCTTGGGAAATTGGGTGTTTTTGGGTAGAATTTAGGAATTTCAAAATTTGGGGATTTGGACCTCAATTTGAGGTCGGATTCCAAAACCAATTGTATATCCGGGCTCGAGGGTGAATGGGTAATTGTGTTTTGGTCCGAACTTTGAGTTTTTACCAAGCGGACCCGGGGTGGATTTTTGACTTTTTGGGGAGAATGTTGGAAAATCTATAGTATGCATTGGAATTGGTTTCTTTAGCGTTTATTGATGTTATTAAGTTAATTATGGCTAGATACGAGTGAATTGGTGGTAGAATCGAGAGGTAAAGCGGTGATTGAGCTTTGAAATACCCGTTGGCTTGAGGTAAGTGTTTGGTCTAACCTTGACTTGAGGGATTAGGGATCCCCTACTTGCTTGCTATGTGAGATATCATGTGTGTGGCGTATAAGTGTGGTGACGAGTACCTATGCGTCGCCAAATTACTTGTTTAGCCTGTTTCCTTTCCCTGTTTCCCTATATCTTGCTTTCCTACCTTAATTGCTACTTGCTTATCGATGCTTCC